CCTATAAACAAAGTTTTGAGAAAATTAAATCTCTTTTAACTGACAAAAACCACTGGAAGGACAAACCCAAACTGAATGAAGAAACATCCAAACTTCCCAATTAGCATGATCAAAGTAGAAAAAAAAAACACTAACATGTAAAAAAAGTTGTATACTTTAAGAACTTGTCTTTCAAACAGCTTTTGTATGTGAAATTTCTAATATTCTTTATTAAAATGAAAGTGGTTCAATAAATTAATAAATGAGTTCAAAATATTTAGGCCTATTGAAAAAAAGGTGTAAACCTGAATGAAAATAATCTGATAAACAGTTTTTTTTAATTTCACATATGTCAAGAAATTTGCAAGAAAAGGCTATACATTACTTTAAAGTAAGTTAGGTAAGTTTACATTAAATAAAATAATTACCTACACCTATAAATTAATTTTTAAGCTACCTACAGTACTAGCCGCGTTGGCCGAGCTTATGGGGTTTTTGCGATTTTCATGATACTGTAACTTAGCTTAAAAGTAAATCTCAAAGATGAAATTCATACAGCAGTATAACAATCATAAGAGGGGTTTTTGGTAAAAATTTCAGATTTTTAAACTTTGTCCCAACAAAGATATTAAGACTCAAAATTTGAATTTTTCAAAAAATTTCAGTTTTTGAAAAATGATAACTTTTAAAGGAATTAAGTCTCATGGTTGATATTTGAAATACAAACAGTTCTACTGAGTTGCTACACACAAAAAAAAAAATCAAGTCTGAGATTTTATTCGTTCCAATGGTACAGCTAGCGTCAGCTAAGCTGGCGCGTGACCGATAGATAGAAATTCTGTACTAGCCTAGGTTAAAAATATTGTCTGCCGTCATGCGGGTTGCGTCTACTGCCCTCACTGCTCTCTTGAAGGCGCTTCAGTAGACGGCATACAAAATGCTAGATGTGTTGTATGGTTGTATGCACTGCATCCATTAACAATTAATAAACTAAACTTTCTAAACACTTTTTATGAACAGTTGTTAATGTAACTAGGGAGCATGGGTGCTTAGGTTGCGCTTTTAAATCATACATTAAAAAACTATTCAAATAAATGTTCTTACAAGAAATAACTTAATAGAACTAAACTGCCACAAACCCCATGGGTCCATCAGGAGTTGGTCCATCATAACTCCTCAATCCCAGACATATCGCTGAATTCATCGGAGTCGCTCGTTCCCTCGTCGTCGCTGGTGCTGTCGTCTACATTAATGATAAAACTTTCCGTTATTTCATCGATGGCTGGCTCTTTGGCGGCGTATTCATTTTCCACATTTTTAACGTGCCTACACTTACATTCCCAATCCTGTTGCGATATCGAAGAAAACTTTTCTTCACAAAGCTTTTTCACATCGCACAATTTGAAGGTCGTGTTGTGTGATGCAACATAGTTTTTTACATCTGCCCATATCATCTCGATTGGGTTCAAATCAGGATGATACGGGGGCAGACGCAGTACACTGTGGCCTTCCCTTTCCAAGATGTCATCCAGGACATATTTGACATATCGATGTTTGTGTTGAAGAATGAGTTTGTAAAGTTGAGGTTTTAGCATTGTTGGATCGTAGGAAATGTTGTGCTCGGAAAGCCACTTTGTCATTTCTTCTTTTTTACTATTGGAAGTCGGGGCCTTATCAATTTGCTTGTTGTGGTACTTCGCATTGTCAATAACCAATACAGAGTTAGGATTTAAGTTTGGTATCAGTTGATTTATGACCCATTGCATGTAATTTTTGTTGTTCATGTTGTCGTGGTAGTCGCCGGATTTTTGGCCTGCCTTCCACATGGCCAAAGCGTTTGGGACGAACCCCTGTTCCCCTCCAGCGTGAACTATTATCAGTCTTTCTCCTTTGGACACGGGCGTATGCAAAACATTATTTGATCCATCCGACCACATTTTCCCAGATACGTGATCTGAACATACGTAACTTTCATCCATGTACACGATGGGTCTCCCTTCCGACCTGAATCGCTTGAGTGACTGGAGATAAGTTATTCTCTTTTCCCTAATCTCAGATTTTTCAATTAGAATCCTCCGATTATTCTGTCCTTTTCCAGGAAAATCCTAATTTTTTCAAAATCCTCCGAACACTTGATTGACTTCCCTGAAAGTTCAACTTTTCTTTAAGAGAATTCTGCAACAGTTTTGACGTCGGCAGTCTTTTTTCTGTTATGTAAAATTCATAGACAGTCCTACGAACCACACATTCATCGAAATGGTCTAGGCCAGTAATCGGCTTTTTCTTCCTTTTTGTTTTGTGAGGTGTTAAAAAAGATTTATTATCATCCTCACTCACCTTTAAAGCGTTTAGTTCGCTGTTTATCCGGGTAACAGAGCGTTGAGATACACCGGTTGCTGCTGCGGTCCGCTCCCTCGCCTTCTGTAGTGGTATTGTAATGCCGCTCTTGCACTCCTCTTTCATAAATGTATAAACATTTGCCACGATTTCCCTACTCTGACTATTTAAAACCTTACCACCAATCCCTACTTTCAATTTAAATTCTGCCATGACAAAAAAACTCACACACGTTTCGTTATGAAAACAGTCCACTTCACGATCCACTGTGACACTGCACAAGCAAAACTCACTACTGAGTAGACACAGTGCTTAGGAACGTGCAAGATTTGTCATAACAGCGCCCTCTCTATTAGTCATAGTTTGTTTAGGACGTCAACCCCGTGAGTCAGCCGAGATGTTCGCAGAGTTGCCCGGTCGGAACGCGGGACCTCACGTCTGACAGTCCGATGTTCTCAGAACGGTCTTAAGCTAGTTTCCACCCTCCCCCCGCCTATGGTGCCGCGCCAGGCCCACAGGCCACCATGAGCCAGCTTAGCTGACGCTAGCTGTAATACGCCTTCAAAAGTTGAAATTTTTCCGTTTTCTTATGAAATGTTGAGATGGGTTTAAAACAGTTTTTGATACACATTTCAATAAATATGTACAGAACATAATATTTAGGCTGTTTCTTCCAGATTAAAATGCTTTTTGTTTCATCACTCTAGTGTTCATGGTTACAGAGTTGTGCAAGTTACGCAAACCCTTACATGAGCAAAAATTTGCGTGTTCCGCAAAACAAAAACGGCCGCCGTAGGAGTAACAAAATAGATAAAAAATTTTTAAAATCACTTTTGAACCCAGAATTGATAAAGGTATCTAGGATAAAAATATTATTTATTTTAAAAATGGTCAAGCAACCCCTGTTGGATCACTTGATATGGATAGACCCCTTTCAAAGATTAAGTAAGTACAGATTAGGCCTATAGTTTCAGACTACATACAATAGCCTAGACATTTATTATAATAGGACAGTTATTATCGGCCTACTTCGAACACAATATTTAGGCTGTTTGAGGGGAAGTTCCCCCACCACTTTTTCTTGTATTTAATGTTTTTGCTTGATCAGCTGTTGAGCTTTTTTTACTTTTTTAATGCTAGAATTTTTTTGCTTGATTTTCAAACAAATGCTAGGCTTGCCACGAGGCAAAATCTAGTATAGGCCATGCAAGTTACATGCAAGAAAGAAAATTGGTAAAAATAAAATTTTTCATCTCAAAGTGCTAAGGAACGATAGCCTATATTGGGCCTCAATTGTACAAGGAATCGAAAGAAACCATCGCTGTTTTGAAAAACAGCCGAGTCAACAGGTAGGCTATGCCCATTTATTTAAACTCACATGATCGAAGGTCCCGCCGGCACAATATATCGCTTCTTATCAGATGAAACATGAACAACGATATATCGTCGCATAGCACTGAAAGGGTTAAAGATAAGGATCAAGTGGAGGGGATAAGTTATATTTCTTTTTCTAAAACCGCCTAAATATTGTGAACAAAGTTTAACTTAGGTGAATGAAATCATAAGTAGGCCTAAGTTACTAATTTGTACTAGCCTATAGGCTAAATTAACCCTTTGAGTGCCAACGTCCGGGGAACCGGACGTTTTTAAAACGAGCCAAAAGTGCCAACGTCCGGCTGACCGGACGTTTTTAGAACGAGCCAAAAGTGCCAACGTCCGGCTGACCGGACGTTTCGTAATGATCGAACAGCTGTCATAACAACCGAATAAATACTCGGATTCTTTTAACCCATATATTAACATTGAGTCGAAAGTTGCTAGATGCGATAGTACATCGATTTTCGTTGGTCGAAATATCGAAAATTCGATTTTTACGAAATTTTAACCTAAAAATCGCCAGATCGCGCTCGGCATTTTTAGCGCGACCTTCGGGAAAAATCATCGGCATTTTTTGAGCGTTACTTTTATTTCTCGCCTGGCACTCTAAGGGTTAAATTTGTGTATTATAGATCTAGCCTTTTCTTGGGGCGCTCTAAAACTTCTTTTCCCAACAACAAACTAAGAACTGATCAGGAATGGAGGGAGATGAATGCAACCTGTTGTGCTTTTGGAGGGCTACAATTTACAGCTGGTCCAATGTCCTGCGAGTATAAAAATTACGGCAAATTTAAACCGTTCAAATGTGCCCCATGTTCAAATGTACTCCACTCTCCCCTAGGCTATCTTAGGCCACTTTTTAGGATTTTTCAGTTAATTAAACACCTAACAACCATGGTGGGTCGATTAATTGTACTAAACCGTGAAAAAATAAGAGGGAATAGGTCTAAGGATGTCGTAGGCCCTAACTAACCCAAGTAAAACCTATTGAAAAGTTTTAGGCCCTAACTTACTTACTTCCCTATGTTCTGGCCAAGCATAGGGAAATTGTTGACATAGGCCTAGGTTTAGACCTAGTTATTCCATATTATTTATGTTGGCCAACATTATAGTGTACAAACACTTCTGGTAGTTCATGAAACTAAAATTTATGTCATATTTTATGATTAAACGTAGCTAAGACAAAAGTCAGAATAAAAATCATCATGCAGGAACAGGAGCACAACATCCTCGTTCGAGATTTAGGCCTACCAACACAAGCATAAGTAACCTAAATTTACATGTAGGAAATTACCCATGTCTCTTACCGTGATTATAATCTGTTGATCAGTTTAATCAGCAACGTAAATTCGAAAGGTAAAATGTCGCGAAATGGAATGATGGAAGATCGGACGATGGAGAATCTCTACAAACCGCCAACAACAAAACAACGGCGTAAGCGGCGAGGAAGGACGCGACGCGCGAAACTAAAATGAGAATTGAAAAAATATAGAACCAGCCTTTGGTTAAAAAGAAATTCAATACTATATTACATATTTATTTAATTTTGTAGCCTTCTTGTGGACAGAGTTGATTTAATATACGGTTGTAAATAACAATAAAGTACGTTTATATAGCCTATAACGATGACGATAAATATTTAACATCATATATTCAATTTATGGATAAAATACCCCCACCTCAGCAAACCTGCATACTTAGCAAATTTCCATTTCTTTGATTGGATTTACACTTAAATGTCTCCTTAAAAATAACCACATTTATTCCCTATTTAAATAGAATTAGTTTAACGAGAACTTAGGTTTGCTGCAACAAGGAGGGTAAAAAAGTGTTATGTTGTAAAATATTAATACCATAGATAAAACATACTCACCTACTGTAATTTAGTAAGAAATGGATATACTTTCGAAATGTGATCAAAATATGTTCACAAACAAGCAAACTACAACAGTTGACTTATTCTCCATAAGAATAACATGGGAATCTTAAATTTACAATTTTTTGGAAATTTCTCTGTAACCATTAGGTATTTTTTTAAGCTCTACAAACTAGTTTGGAAAGAAATTGTGAAATTATGTATTTTTAGGGTCAAAAATGGGAAAAACCTTATGATCTTACCCCATAAAACTCTCCATAAACCCCCGTTCCCATAGTCCGATCATCCTGGTATGTGAACTCGTTCGAATAATGAATTTAGGTTTACACGTTTGTACCAAATTTAATCAAAATCTGATAATTTTTGCTCGAGTTATCGTGCAAACGGACATTCCTAGAAGTAGGAAACCAGACAGGATAATCAGACTGTATGGTACAAACAAACCAATGTACTGTAGGCCTACTATGTATAACCATAGACTAGCCAACACAAGGGAGTATGTTTTGGACAGCCTATGGCGTTACTTATGCAGCAGTCTGGGTCAAAAATTAAGATATTAAATTTTTTTTTGTATATAGATGTTCTTTATGTGTATATATTATAAACAACCTCTTAAAAAGCCCAGAGATATAACAATAAGCTTAATTGTTATTGTTATACTAAGTTTTTTTAGCACGTTTATAAGCTCAATCTACCCACGGCCACCGAAGGTATACCACTATTCTACTTTCAATGATCATATCATATAATGCTTTCAATGTTTCAATTAGCTAATGAGAAATCCCTACAATGAGTGAAAACCCGTTATGCCATGGACTAACCAACAACCAACACTAGTAATACAGTATGTTGTATGTATCCATGGTTATACCTTTGAATAAACTTAACATGACCAAACCAAATCACTTGATTAAATAGCAATATGCAATAATAAATCATATAAAATGTGTATCATTATTTGTTATTATTGAACCAAATACGATTACTTCACCTGAAATGACATTTGATATAGTACACTCTATGTGCAGAGGCGACGCTGTATTGGATATCATAATGGCGTTGGTCGGCGCAACATTCAGCTCTTCTGCTAGCTGTCATTATTAGTGTTACTCGTAGTCATGGCGGACGAGGACTCGAACGTAAATGATGATACTCCCGCGAATGACTTGAATACCAAGTTTGGTTTGCGGCTACGCGGTCGGAAAGGCGCGTTGAAAAAGAAAAACGTGTATAATGTTAAGGATCACAAATTCATCCCTCGCTTTTTCAAGCAGCCGACGTTCTGCAGCCATTGCAAGGATTTTATATGGTAAGTCAATAATTGTTGTAATCTGGAAGTAGGTTACACGTTGTTTCATGTATTTTCCTGGAATATAACATAATCATTGCAATATCCGTGTATAGGCTTGTTAATTTTAATTACAGTGACATCATTGCAAATAACCCTAAGAATGTAAAAAATAAATTCATTAGGCTAGCCTAATACAAACAACAAATTCATTATTATTGCATATAATTTTTAAATAAGAAAGCATAAAAATAAAATATATTATTCTGTACTTAATGAATTTCGCTGTGAAAATGGATTATAATTAGTTTTTAGGTGCAATTAAAAGCAATTAGGTTTTTAGGTAGGCTATTTAAATAGGGGAAGTTGGGGTAGGCAATAAGAGAATACCCCCGCCACAGCAAACCTGCAGACTAAGCGAATTTCCATTTACCTGGCTGGATTTCTACTAAAATATTCCCTAAAAAATTTCCTTTTTAAACAACATTAATTTTAATGAGTATACCTACCTAGGCCTAGGTTTGTTGCTACAGGGAGGGGTGCGTTTTTGATTGAAATGATGATAGCTTAGTATGAAATAAACAAAATTGCCAAATTTGATTCAAATTTCCCTTAAGAGTAACATGGGAATTTTAAATTTATAGTTTTTTTAATTACCTCCGTAACCGTTAGGAATACAACAACGCTTCAATATACAAAATTATTTCTTTTTTTAAGCTCTACAAATTGGTCTGGAAACAAATGGTAACATTTTATGATTTTAGAGTCAAAAATGGGAAAACCCAATTTTTACCACATAAAACCCCCCATAAACCCCCTTTCCCATAGTCCGATCATGCTGGTTCTCGAACTCGTTCGAATAAACTTAGGTTTAAACGTTTGTACGGTTTGTACCAAATTTCATCAAAATCGGATCATTTGCTCGAGAATGAAATGACAATAATGAAAACCGTACAATAAAAGTGGGCAAAATGGTGCACCTGAACCCTGAACAGCTGGTCTTCAACATTCCAAAATTAATTAGTAGGCCTACTACATTAATCCCCCTGCCGCAGCAAACCTATAAGACTAAGCAAATTCCCATTCACCAGGTTGGATTTCCACTAAAATATTCCCTTGAAATCGTCAGATTTATTTCCTATTTTAATATCATCGTTGTAATGAGTAGGTACCTATTTAGATAGCCTGCTTTACTTTTGCTGCTACAGGAAAGATGTGTGTGTTTTTAATTGTTAATTGCTTGGTACTTAATAAATAAGTTTGCCAAAATTTTATCAAAATACATCTAGAAACAAGCAAATTCCTACAACAGTTTATTATTATTCTCCACAAGAATAACATGGATATCTTAAATGTAGGCTTTTTGGACTTTACTCCTTAACTATATTAGACGTCCAAAAACGCTTTAATATACTAAATTATTAGTTTGTTGTGGTTTGGAGAAAACTTGCAAAATATTAGGTTTTGGGGGTCAAAAACACGTTAACACAATATTTGTCTCTATATAAAAAACATTTGTATACCTAACCCAGAGGACACAGCTGATTGTAATTGTTTGAGAATTAATTCGAATGAAAGTGGGTTGAATGGATAGTATTTTTGGCCTCTGGGGACGTCAAAACGTTTAAAATTATTTTTGATGCTTTTTGCAACTCCCGATTTACACTTGGTTACACAACCAGAGGTTTCTTAAGTTCTTATTGGATCTTATAGTGAATTTTTGGTTTTTATTAAATACCTATTACCATAGGTTTCATGATAAGAGCTGGACCTGGGACCAATTTACTTTTTTGTTTTTATGTTCCCAGAGGCAAAAACACCACCCATTTCGTTATATTTATGTGTCCGTCGACTTTGATAACTCGAGAAAAACCACTCGAATTTGATGAAATTTGTTACAAACGTGAAAACCTTAACGAAACGAGTTCGTGAACCAACATGATTCGACTATGAAAAATATAATTTTATGAGGTCAAAATTATGTTTACCCGTTTTCTATCCTAAAATAATGCAATTTCATTTAAAGCTATTTTGTAGAGATAAAGATAACAAATAATTGAGCATATTGAAGTTTATAATTGTAAGCTTTATACCATTATTCCACGAGATTTATAGACGAAAAACTCCACAAAACCATAAATTCAAAATGTAATTCCTATGGAGGGGAAGTAAACTGTCGTAATTTTCTTGCTTATGGATCCATTCTGATCAAATTTGGCAAATTTACCTGTTTCATCACATGCTATAACCATTTAACTAAAATACGTACTTTACTACCTTTCATGTAGCAGCAAACCTAAGCACTCATAAACCTAGTATTAAGTAATAGGGAATACATCTGATATCGCTAAGGAAAATTAAGTTATAATCCAATCAGTCAATTTGAAATCCACTCAGTGTGCTAGGGTAATTTTTATTTAAATAGTATTGCAACAAAAATCAATTGTATAACAAGAAATAAATAGCAATTTAACACTTTCTAGATAAGCCGGACATGTAGCTCAACATTGCCTTCAGCCGATTGTAACTATGATAAATCTACAAGGAAGTATGTCTAATATATCGTTGAAGTTTAATTGCAATTATAGATCAGATCCGACGCAACACTCTTGACTAACTTTCACCAATTTATATGTTAAGTTGTATTCCCTTGCTGGTCTAATATTGACCGGCATAGCTGTGCACAATCTCAAATATTAAATATCTCAATATTTTAAATTCAAAGTTTTACCGCCGATTTGTGACGCGATACGATAGAAACATCTGGGTTTAAAATGTTCTTGAAAACAGATAGTGCATTGATATAATGATTTAAAGTGTAGCCTATAGGGTTATAGTATTGCATCTGACTATAGCACAGTTTTTTTAATTATCGGATCTTCTAAAATTAAATAAACTTAGTAGGTAAAAAATCGAATTGGGTACATTCGATGATCTTAAACTATGCAAATTCTATAATTAAATGCAATAATCATTTTGTTGACGGAGATGAATTAATGGTTATTTCCTAAGCCCAGTCTCAGAACTATTTCAAGCTAGGTTGAGACAACGTATGACGTATCCAACGGGAAATACGCACAATTGAATGGAGTTCGCAGATTACCTTTGTGCAAAATTTCAGCTAAATTAAGTTTAGTAGTTTGGTGTAGTGGTAGGACAGAGAGATATAATTTTGACAATGAATACATTACGCAAAAGCATTTAAGTACGGTAATGTACAAAATTTGTATTGGTTTATCCTACGAAATTTTGAATTCTTTATAACCTTTACTTGGTTTATGATATCATTGACTTCATACCATACCATTCTTTGTAGTATAAAATCAATTCTGGCACAGTATGTAGAATTGTGAAGAAGCATACGTGAATGAATTATGTAATAGTTATTGAAACAGCTGTAAATGAGCAAGTACTGTGGTTGACATATGTTGCATTGTTGGCTAAGGTAATGGCAGTGTGAAAAGCTATTTAGTTCAATATTGGGTTGTTAACCTTAAATTAACATAGGACAGTTTTCAATCGCGCATTTGTGATAAAGCTATCTCTAGAATTTACCTAGTTGAAATAATTTCTACCTAGAAACAAACTAAAATGCTTTTCCAAATGTCAAAAAAGTATAAAAACATTTTGTCGTAGTGATTGATAATCAACGACTCAATAACGGTTATCACTGACTGTGTTGTAATGTTGGTAACAATGCACAACCAATTGTGTACTGCAGGTGGTAACAATCAACCAGATAAGACGGATGTATTGTTTACCGTTCTACTGACAGCGAAATGTTACAGGTTATGTGACTAGAATACTTCATTACGGTACCAATACTTAGATTAAACCTATGATATATTAATAACTTTGACTAGTGTACAGTTAAAATAATTGACTATTTGGATTCTATTGGATAATGAAGTAAACCAACACATTATTATAGGAAGTAGTCCTACAGTATATGGATCAGCTGTCGCCAATTTTTAGCTATCTTTGATGTTTCGCAAACCTTAATCGCTATAAATTCCCTTGTTTTTGTTGCCTTCGTTCTTGGACTGAAGGTTTTGTGTCTACTTTATGTCGGCCCACATTTCGTCAGATTGTCTTTAGAGCGTCTTCTATTTTCATAGCATAACAGCTGGCAAGATGTAGTTAAAAACGAAGGCAACAAAAAAAAGGTACAGTCATTAATCTTATTCAAATACTTGAAACTGGGCTAATACAAAAATAACAATACTATTAGAATTGCAATAGTAATTTGGGAGGTCTCTATATACTTCAAAAACCGCTGAAACGATTGTCAGGCCTAATCTGTAGCATGTACATTACAAGGCAAGTAATGTAACCTAGGATTATATGTGGGAATCTTTGACGTAGTTTTGAGGTTAGGATTATGCTCGAGCAACAGATAAAAGGAGTTATTTTTGAACAGATTCCTAAAATTCTCGTTAATAACTTATCTCACTAATCCTCGATAAGATCTCATTCAATTTGAGCAAAAACCCAATACGTACATTCACCATAATGTTAAAATTACCTAGTGCTAGATAACCTATAAGCCCACGCGGTTGCCGGCGGCCGTATGGTGTAATACGCATGCGTAGAAGGGAACCACTGCCTCCTGTATATGGTCTACACCAGCAACATGTTCAAGCTTGACTACACTGCCTACACGATCTGTGAAATCGGATTCGTCCTATTTCCACGTTCCAAATGTGCTGATTTAAAATTTAACTGGAATATTACTTTTCGGTATTTAGGGTCTTTTCAAGAAGAGAACGGCAGTACAATGCGATGGTTAGCTTAGGTTAGTTTATGATAATGACAAATAACGAGATATTTATACAGTTTACCTTTTTTAAAACGCATGAAAAATATAGTACGAATAAAATTTAGTAGCTAAACATAACCTAACAGCTGTAGCGTACTGAAAAGTCCTCAAAAGACTCCAATATTTGATAGTGCGTTGATAGATCTTTGTAAGGGATGGAGTTCTCACTAAATCCAACCTTGCCTAATTCTCTCAGTTTTTA